AAGCTTTCCTCGACCCCTTAGTCAGTTTTAAATCAAGACTCTGTGGTAAGCTATGGCCCACCGGTCAAGTCCATCTAACTCCCATTTTTGTGCAGCCTTCAAACCAAGAACAGTTTTATATTTTTAAACAGTTGAAAAAAAATTTCAAAAGAAGAATATTTCACATGAAAATTATATGAAATTTGAATTTTAGTGTCCATAAATAATGTGTTATTAGAACAGACATGCTTATTCATTTACATATTGTCAATGGCTGTTTTTGCCCAACAGTGGCAGAGTTGAGTTGCCACAGAGACCGTATGGTCCACAAAGTCTAAAATATTTACTCTCTTTTTGCAGAAAACGTTTGCTACTCCCAGCTTTAGATGACCAGGCTTCCTCATAGGAGCCTACACCTGCCTCTAACTCAGCTCTTACAGCACATTCTGGAAGGGTCGGTCCTCTTTGGATGTCCCACTACATTGAGGTAGAGGACACTTTCTAACTTGACTTGGTCTCCCAGCATGAAGCAGAGTGCCTTGATCCCAGGAGGCACTTGGTAAATAAATGCATGGATGTGGGAAGGAATGGTGAGCAATCGCTCCACTAGAATGTAAGTTACCTGAGGACAGGGGTTTTGCCTCCTTTTTTCATTGTGTATCCTCAGTGCCTAGAAGACTCTCTGGACCATTGTAGGTACTTAGAAAATGTTTGTGGAAGTTGTTAAGTACATGAAGATTGATTGATTCAATGTTTCTGAGTTTTATAATTCTTAGGTCAATTCTTGGTCTTTTTTATACCATGCTGTTTGGTTGCTATGAGTAGGAATTGACTCGACAGCAAGAAGATTTTTGGCTTATTTGGTGATTGGGGATCCCTGGTGGCACAGTGGTTAAGAGCTCGGCTGCTAACCAAAAGCTTGGCCATTGGAATCTACCAGCCGCTCCTTGGAAACCGTATGGGGCAGTTCTACTCTGTCCTATAGGGTGGCAATGAATCCGAATGGACTCGATGGCAAGGGGTTGTTGTTGCATTTGGTGATTGCTGTGAATAAAACTCCACTTTCAGAGTCTCAAGAAACAAAAAAGAGACAGTTTTAAGTTTGTCACGGAAGGAAGTAGTTACGAGGTCTTTTCAAGAATATATTGATTTAGCCCAGTGTTTAGTGCTGCTCAATCTGTGCATTTCAGTGTGTTGTTACCTCTTCCTTTCACTCACTTCCAGCAATGAGCTCAAGGCAGGCATTAAATCAAGGTCCTGCTGACACCGAGTTATTAAATACCCCATGGCAGCGGGCTGGTACGGCAGAGTGAAACTCAGCATTCTGGCCCCATTTCAAATCAGGATGAGGTGTACTTTAGGAGATTAGTGTGCACATATAAATCATAGCCTAAACACTTCATCTGGTCTTGGACGGCCTCTCTCCCAGTGAATTGAAAGCTCTTTATAGAGATGAACAAGTTTTCATACCAGCTCTGTGAGCTTGCAGGGAAGATGAACTAAGATCCCTGTCCTCAGCTGAATAATGATCGTTGCAATGCCTTGCAAGTTTATGGCACTATATCCTGACGTAACATGTTCTAGCCACGAGGAAGTGTCTTTCCTTGATGACAAATATGCCCTCTTAGTATCTGATCATATCATACTTGTCTCATTATGAGATTTGTACTATTTAGTCTTACAGATTGAGTGTGAGGGTCATATATTCACATAAATGGTCTGAAGTGTCTGGTGGGAGCGTGCTGTTCTCTCCTGAGGCCCAAAACGTTCCCCACAAGACAGCCTTTTAAAAAGCAAAGGAGGGAATGTTTGCCTCCCAATCATTCACTTCAGGCGAGAAGGCCTGGCCAGTCTCCCCAGCCCTCCCTGCTCCTGGCAACATGGGTGCCAGCCCTTCCCTCCTCACTGGGGAGGGTGGGCTGCCACACGCCCCCTTCTTGAGTTTTTGCATGACTTTACCAATGACCCAGTTTATCAACAAACATTCCCCCCTTTGCCTCATCTCCTCCCCTTCCTCTTTAGAAGAGCCCTGACCTCCCACACAAAGGATCAGGGGCAAGGAAGGTCTGTCTTGGCTTTCTGTCCTAAATTCACACACATACACAAACACACACTGCACACACACATGCACACAGAAATTCTTTTGTGCAGTCACTTAAAAGAGGCCATTAAAAACCTAAATTTTCCCTTGTATTTCTTTGAACAGCAATAATGAGCACTGATTTGGGACATCAATGGGAAGAGGTGAAAATAACGAAGTCACTATTAAGGGAAACTGAAATCTCCACTGTTCTAAGAATGAGGAGTTTTTGGAAGGCTTGAGTCTGGTTGGAGGCTGAAAGGGGCAGTACTGTGGAAGGATCATCAGCTTGCAGTCACAGATACTCAGTTTCACAAGTGACCTTTTCCTCTCTGAGTCTCAGTTTCCTCATCTATGAAATGGGAATAGCACCTTTTAAGATCGTTGTAAAAATTACATGAAACAACTTAGCTAAAGTGTCTGGTAAATTGTAAAAAATGTGAGTCCCTCCCTGCAAGGAGTCAGAGCACTGACTTAGCTTATAGGCCTCTGGAACCCTCTTTAAGTGATTGTATCAGTTGTCTTTATAGAATAAGAAAATAGCCGAACAATATAAACAGACTAAAAGAAGCAGACCCAAGAACTACTGGAGAAAATTTCTAGTGAAACACAATCGTCTTGATTGGAAATAATCCAAAAAGCTCTGTAAGCAAACAAGTATTGAATGAGCGGCCCAGAAGAACTTGCCAAGACCACAATCTTTAGGACACAAAAGATGTGTCCCTAATCATAGTTAATACAAAGGACTTTAGAAGAGATTTATACCTTTCATCAATTTGAGTGGAGCATTAGAGTGGAGTGAAGGTAATCTCTGAATTGTCTCTCTCTTATTTGAATTCAGACCTTCTTTCTTGAGTGATGGGAGAGGGAGTGGAATGATAGCTGGAGATTGCAGATACACATGTGCATGTCCATGGGTGTATGTTGTGGATGCTGGCATCACCACTATTT